TTTCCGCAGTAGCTGTCAGAAAATGTCAAACACATAATTTCTATTTTGATCTATGTAATGTCCATATTAATACTAAAATCGATATGATTGTTAAATTATTGTAAATTAGATCCTAGATATTTATCTTTAACAATTATTTTTAAAATAATTTTAAAATAACTAAGATATATTTGCTTTTTATTCTGGTTAAACACATAAGCGATTAGATCAATCAATTACCGTAAGGCCTGTTAGCTCAGTTGGTTAGAGCATCAACTTTGCAATTTGAGACCGTCCAACGACCGCGATCGAATCCTGGCTGTGCCAGAATTTTTTTTTTATTTTTTTTTATTTGTTTAGAAATTATGAAAATTTAATAAATACGATTATTGTTGATTATTTTTTTAAATACATTTTAATTATTATAATAATCTGGTTTTACATTTTTTGATGAAATTATTTTGTGGTCGTAGGAAAAATATTGTACATCACTTGTGTGAAAAGTGATTTTCCACACTCGTGTGATAGTCGCACTCGGCTTACGCCTCGTGCGACAATATTTCCCACTCGTGTGAAAAATGTCACTTTCCACACTCGTAATGTAATATACTATACCGTAATTAACATTGGTTAAATTTATTTACCAGAACATAAAGGTGCAATTGATATTTGATATCGATATAAGCGCCACATAGTGGGTCAGATGCGTTCAACCTAGTCGTTGTTAAGCATGTGCTGCTTATTAACGTTTCCTACCTTTATGACCCTTAATCCCTGGTGTCTAGAGCAGTAAGTATCCACAAACTGTATTGACAAAATTCTTACCTAAAAAGGAAAACTTTTGAAAAAATAAGAAGACTGCTGATCTTTACATATATTTACTAATATATTCGCAAAATCTTAACATAATTAAATAAGAATAAATGAATAAAAAACAAACAATTCAGTTAAACATTGAAGAATCACTTTCATATATTTCATATAATAATATAAGTTAAATAGTCACTTCATATACATATATCTATGTTTAAATAAAGGAATGATAAATGGGTTACAAAAACAAAAAATCCTACCATAATTATCTCAAAACAATTTGTTTAGATTATATACATGCTATAGTAGGTGCTAGTACATGAAAAATATATACATTTTTAAACCGAAAAATAAGCCAATAAAATGAATTGTTTCTTGTTGAATGAAACGTAGCAAAATCTGAAGATGTGTGATTTAAAAACTACAACAATACGATTTTTAACAAGAGTGATTGTATTTAACTAGAATTTGCTTAAGCATTTTTTTTTAATTTTGATTAAATTCATATAACTTTTGGCTTGAAAACAACAATGTAGGTACTACAAACGAATCGATCTGCTATCGCCATTATTTTCCTTAAAATACATACACGGTGTCCTAAAAATTATTTCTGAGTAAGAGATAAAACTGTTAAACCATTTCAAACGAATTCTTTTAAACTAGGACACCATATACGCCGTATTTTTAAACGACAGTGACTTTTAAATAAAAACAACTATCATAAAATAAAAAAAAGTAATGTTGACTGTTTGTATGTTTCTTTTTTTTTATGAATATTTTATAGAGCAGTTCATAACAAAAAAGTCCTGTTAAAAATAATATCTGTGCTTTAAAGTAAAATAATACTTTTTTAAGAATAAAATATTCTTAAAATACAAGCCACCCAAACAATTAGCAAAACTGCTCTTTTTTCTGTAAAAGAAACAAAACTGTTACAGAATGAAAAAAAAAAAAAAAAAACGAAAACAATACTTGCACGCCTAAATTTTTTACTTAATAATTACAAGTTCACTATTGTCCTGTAGCACTAGCTCCTTCAGTTTAAATTGAAAACTATTCAAAATTCCACTTTTCTATACAGCTGGTTGTGAGGGGGGCCTTATATTACATGCCTGGATAACCTTGGTAAGCCATTTGAGGTGCGTAACCGACCTGAGAATAAGTCTGTTGGGGTACGTACTGTTGAGGTGGAATACCTATAAAAAATATGATTTTCTATAATCACAATTTCATGACAAATATAGAGGTATTGTACACAAACTAATTTGGCGTTTTTAAATGGAAAATTTGAATGAAATGGATATTTTATTTGAGATTGTACAAAAAAATCATGTGGTCAAAATGTTGATGATTAGGCCCAATGACAAAAAACTACTAATTTTGTTTACAAAAATTGAATTGCAAACATTCACGGTGTCATCCACGTAGTTGTCAAATTATTATGAGAGATAGTTGTTTATGGTTAGAATTCAGTATTGACTATACATAATAATTAATAATAATAATTCTTATTTATTTCTGTAGGATTGGTAATTTTGGTCAATAGATTCACATAGATGAATCAAACAATCAATGGCTATAAGAAACGGAACTCACCCATGCCAGGACCAGCTGTCAACATAAGTTGGGGTTCAGGTATCATCATTGGTTTGTTCGTCTCTTCGGCGGCTTCGCTCTGCCGCTGGGCATCGGATTGTTCTAATTTTTCTACTTTTGTTGTCAACTCCCTAGTTACTTGAATTAAGAAAGGCATTGCAAAGTCCATTATATTGTGTTTCCATGCTAATTCTAGAATTACGTCTGGCCGGAGCAAATCATAGCACTAAAATGAAAAATGTAAGAGTTATTACTCCGCTAATGAGCAAACTCGAAACAGCTTTTTGAAACCATTTGTTAAACGTGAAAGTGCAAATTAAAGTCGTTTGTTTCTACGTTTAGCAATCGAAGAAATTTTACATTTGACATGTTTTGTGATTTGTAATGATTGTTTTGCATTTAGTTTTATCAAATACACCAAATGGGAACTAAAGTTGAAGTAAAAATGTGGCTTAACATATTTTTCCGTAAAATAATTTCAATACCAGACTCAAAATGTTTGGAATAATTGATCCTAGGTTTATTTAAAGTACGAACTCTATAAAGATATTGCAAATTATTTCAAATTTCAACGGCGTTCGTTGTTCGTTCACCGTCATCGCAACCGTTTTCACAAAACATAGAAACTTATGGTTCCTAATCAAATGAAACTGTTATTAGCAAAAAGTTATTTTGTTGTTGCAAGGAGGAAAATTTAGAATGTTTCAAGATATTTGAAAAATAATTAAATTCGGAAAAATTAAGTAAAACAATATGTGTGTATAGGTATCTATTTTTAAAATAATTTATTGTAGAAAGACTAAGCTACAAAAATAATAAATCTATTAAACATGCCTTAAATGAATGAATTTGAAAATATTTTATTTATGTATATGTGAATAAAACAGAAAATACTTATGTCTTTATTCTAGTGATCTGATGATTTGTGGACCCACAAATAGTATTTCATAATTCTTATAATATTAAATTGTTAGATTTGATTAAGAATGATTTTTATTCATAACTTATGCTATAAGTTCAAGGATAATTAAATTCAAAAATTATTTAGGTCTTTACTAGCTGAGACTCGAAGAGACCTTCTTAGAGAATAAATATTTCAAAAACTTAGAAGTTCAAGAGAAAGAAATTCAAAAAGTATTTAGTGTACTGGTTAAGAATCGACAAGACCTTCTTACAGAATGAATATTTTACAAACTAACTGTGGTCATCATGATCATTGCCCTTGAATAATTTAATCATATTTCATTGCTGCCAACTTCGAGATAAATTACACTTTCTCTTTTTGACTTTAAACGATCTTATAAGCAGAGGAGCGAGTTGAATTTTTCAATAGCTAAGATTTCGTGGAAGGTTGAGTTGTTGCTATTAAAAAAACTCCAAAAGGGGCTATTTAAACACATGTGCGTCGGATATGTTCTATATTTTGTTTTTGTAGAGTGTATGGAGTTTAACATTTTTAGCACTAATAATTCTGTTGTAGCTATCTTAATAGGTCCCTAGTACAGTTTTCATAATTTTCCTTTACACTATTCTTTAGACTACCTATTAGGATGAAAGTATGATTATTTAAACTTTCATTCGTGAATAATGTAACATAACATAATAATGTAACATGCTTCTTGTTTTAAACATTTTCTTTCATAAAAAAAAACACGTTATAGGTCAGGTATGTCAAATTACAATAGACATTTATTATTACAAGTAAAATCTAACATTTTGTAGTCTTATGAATGCAGAAAACATAACGAGTTTAATAGTAATTTGTAGTTCTTAAAAATATAAAAAAATTTTTTTAGTTATTTGTTGAATTTCAAATTGTCTTAATCCCTTGTTTGTACACATTTTTCACGATGTCAAATATAGCCTTTATCCTATCCAGTGAATACTACATATTTTACAGTTTTACTTACATGAAACAGGCAAGCCGCGAAACAATCATACGCCTGTCTATCTAAGAACCAACCCAGCAGTTCTTCGGCCAATTCTTGATTTCTGGACTCTGACGTATACTCCATGGCGTCCCTGAAGAGCCTGTCTTTCTTGCACAGTTCCACACTCTGTTTCCACCGGTTATTTCCTTTGTAGAGATAGGCAGCGATACGTCTGAATTCGGTCAGCTCATGTTTTTCCAATCTTTGCGCCAAACCAATGTTGTCGAAGTTGTCAAACGCATCTATGGATGTTCTAAGACCCTAACAATAAAAAATCGTTTAATATTTGAAAGGTTGAATTGAAATTTGATCACGAAACAACGTTAAACTGGAATGATATGCAAATTTGATTTAAATTTCATACCTGGAAGTCTTCTTCTTCGATAAGTAGTGAATTTAGAGCCTCGTTTATTGCTTTGTTGTTCAAATTTTGTACGGATCTGAGATAAGATTTGACAAGCTGTAAGTGTCCCGTTTTAGTAAAGAAAGAGACGGATCTGAAATTAATAGTAATAATAATAATTTTTATTGCTTGAAAACACAAGGTTCCTAGCAAGGGTATTAGTATTATATTTTTACTGTATATTTTTCAACGTAAAGGTTATTTTCTTCATTAATATGATAAAATAAAGCTATAAATAGGTTTTTTAAATATACAGCGGGTGCCAATAAGTTTATCTTACATTTCACAAAAAAAAAAAAATTCTTGTAAAAGTTTTCTGCATCATGAGCGGGAAAGTACTCTGGTAGAGCAGAGCGACAGCCACGAGTCTAGAATGACTTCCCCTGAGGTATGTATACGATTTTACTTAAGTATCAAATAATATTTTTATTAACTTCTATCATATTTTGAAGAAAAAAAAAATAAATAAATAAACAAAAAATAACTAAGGTACCTAAGATAATTATTTTGCCCGTTACATATTGAATGACATGTAAAAATAAAATTATCTGTTATACTTAGAAATATATGTCGACAGTTAAATTGGATGACCATCAGAACTATGAGTAACCGCAGAAAATGCTTCTTAAAACATGATTCCAGAAAAAATCACGGAAACATACGAAAACACTTACGAAGCATATACTAAGTGACATTTTCTGGTAAGGAAGTGACACAAGCTGATCGGGAAAGTTACTTTCCCAGTAAGTAATAAGTCGCTTGCCAACTGTTTTAAAGAGTACATATCCACAGATTACTAACCGATTGTGTATCAAATTATTTTACTCTTCATTATAAATTATTATTTTTATTTTCCCTGTATACCACCCAAACTTTACAAAATTTAATACTTGATTATGGATCCCCAAGTAAAATACAGAACTTTCTATCAAGAATATTATATTTTTCTGGTGAAATGTAAGATAAACTTTTTCATTTGAATTAAACTATATAATGAGAAATTCTCAATATTTTGTTTCAGAAATTGATAGATATTTACATGTGCATTCTTTTTTTTTTTTAATTTATACACTATTTTGAAAAAAAAAAAAAAAATTATTGTGGATTTTAAACTTGACATTTGGCAAACTTGCCTAGTAATTGACGGCAGTCTTGAAGGATTTAATACCATTATCTAAAACTGCGTAATTTCTAGTTACATTAGCTATGTTCGCGGAACTGATCCTAAACGTATTATGAGCGCTAAAGTAAAGCCTACATGCCTACATAAACATTTAAATACAAATCCCGTTATAGTTGCCGTTGCCTTTTGAGAGAAAATATTTGATGAAAAAGTGCGTTGTACCAAATTGTTTAAATTTTCCAAACGAAACATTTATATTTGTGTCCAGGGACTTAAAACAGTATAAAAATTTCAATAAAAATATAAACATCCGAGAGACATTAGGTGAGGATAAAACTCAACTGACAACTGATATAAATACAACGTTTACGAGTGATCCGAACTATTGTGAATGAGAAAACAAGGATGTAAGTGATTTTCCCAATGCAGAACGTGAACGGAATAATCCCTAAGAAGCAACCTTACACTGTTGTCAAATGCCAAAATAGGAACGTAGTGCTTTAAAGTTTAAATACCTGACTTTGTATCCCAATTTTAACTACATAGTAACTTTTTAACCCGGCAGTACACGCGCCAAAAAACTTACATCATTTTACGCTTACGTTCAATTCGACGACATGCACAGTTTTGACTTCCCGTTTATTTTAAATAAATATCGATGTAGGAAAATTACTACACGTACACCGAAAGTAGCAAAACCGGAAGACAAAAAATGCTAGCAAAGGGATTTTTTTATTGTTATAGATGTCTAGAAAGAAGCAAATTATTTCATTACCAGCAAAAACGAAAAAACCATGGATAAGAAATATTATTTTGAATTTGACAGGTTTCACGACAGTTTCCACCACCGGGACATAGTACATGTTGTTCACCCCCTTTCCCTGTACTCAACTACAAATAGCAAGAAAAAAACATGACATGTCAAATAAAAACAAAAATATTTTTGAACTAATCGGTAGTAGAAAAACTGCCTCGGGCATTCTTAGGTCAGTACCACCACCATTATAGCAGTGGCGTTACTACTGAATTTATCAATGCTCTCTCCTTTCGATCGACGCGCGTGTACACTCGGGTTAAGAGACAAAAATTAGATAGGGTGTTTCTATTGTCATATATTTTAGATATTTTTCATTATTTATGTATTTTATTTTCATAAACTTGATAAGATTTAAACCCATGGGGTTCGGGTAAAGATCTACCGCCTATACTGCACTTGTGCAGAAAGTAATTTTTGTACATGATTGGAATCAAAAATAAGGTAAATTATTCAGTATTGGTATTGGTCTTCTTGGTGTTATGAGTTGATGATTAAAAAAATATAGATTTTCAAGAAACATCAAATAAATAAAAAAAAAGAACATTTTTCTTTTCAAACCAGTCTATTTAAACACAAATATAAGGTTGAAACACATTCAACCATATTTTTGCTTATAAAAAAGTCATAGTAGTAATTTTACATGACACATTTCTTTTGTCTAAATTCCACACCAATGTCCACAATCTTAATATACTAAACTCACGCGGCCGTTACACAAAACAACTTAATATCAATTCCTGTTCATATTATATTTCCTTACTATGGATTACGCCATAGCTACTCTATATTCTCTCTTAGTAAATTGAAATATTACATTAAAAGAAGACTTTTTAAATGGCACATTTAAAATGATAAGTATAATTACTAAAAACAAACATTTTTTTGTTATTTTTGTTTTTAACATATTGCTTCATTTTGTAACACCCTATTTAATTATTTCTTATGTATTTTAATTTTAGTAAGTAGTTATTCGTTTTTTCACTGTTATTAAGGTTAAGTGAAAGAGCAGCTTTTATATTTTGACCAAGCAAAAGTGAACTCTGCATTTTGGCTAATCATTTTTCAATTTGTATTTTTTTATATATTTTTCATATGCCAATAAAATCAATTTATTTATAATAAAAGACAAGCATTTTTAAATAGGACAATGCTCTAAATGGAGCTTAGAATTGCGGTAGACTTGCGATGTTTTGTGAAAAAGGAATGTAAAACAATAAAAAAAGTCAAAAAAATAGTAAGCTGATAATAGATCATTTAAACTACTCACCTAGTATGATCCATTCTCGGCGCCAAAACTAACAATAAATCATTCAACAACAGCGGTTTGTAATCGAGATAGAACTGTATAGCTTTGTAGTACAGTTCAATGTTAGCTACTTTTGTAATAATATCTTTAAAGTGACCCTCGCGCCAAGCCTCTGTAGGATGAGCCATCATAGCCAAGACAGCATTGTCATATTCTTCGTATTTGTCAAACAAGAAGACAAGTTCTGCCCATAGGTGCGCCTAAAAACAGTATTGTAATAAAAATATTTACCTTTGAGGAATTGAACAAAAGAACTAACCTGTTCAGCTGCTCTAAGAACTTTTGGAATATTAACACGAGACCAGAACAATTCAAGATGTTCACGCATTCTAGCAGGTTTGTATTTGGAATACAAAATAGCCAGTTCTGTGAACATGCCCATATGGGCTCTTTCCAAACCCAACGCGGCTTCCAAGAGACCAATCAATTCTTCAAAGTAACCTATAAAAATCAACAATGAATAATTTTCCACACTTTGGAATGCCTAATTAAAATGCCTTACCTCTATCTTGATAGTAGTTAATCAAGTCTTGTAATTCATCAGCATGCACAACAATGTGCATTCCACACATCTGAGCCAATCTAAATTCCTCAGCGTCAACGCAGGCAAAGCATACCTCTTTCCACGTTCTGGTACTGTTGGCCTTCCTAGCACTGTCGACGGCGCCCTGGAATTCCTTTAGATGGACAAGAGTGATCGCGAGACGGGCAAAGTTGGATACGTTGTTGTACAGAAGTTTGGCAGCGTCGTACATCTTGTCGTCAAAACATCTTAAAAACAAGGTTTGATTTTTTAAACAGTTAATGATAATATCCGTAATGATTAAGTTTAATAAAATATTTAATCGACTCATATTTATATGAAAACATGTTAAATTTCTCAAATTCTCAGAAATATTGAAAACAGTTGTGAAAATATTTTGTTACACATATATCACTGGTTTTAAAATACCAGGGTGATAAAATCGAATTATTCATTTCCAGAAATGTGACATGATTATCTTTAAACATCCACTAGTTTAAAACCAGTTACTAAAATAATATCAAATTCTCAAAAATCATATGAAACAGTTGTAGAAACATTTTGGTAACAACAGCAATTATATATTTTTACTAGTTTTAAAACGACGGACTGATAAAATCGAATTATTAATTTCCAGAGGTGGGACTCTGCATTCTTTAAACATACACTAGTTTAAAACCATTTATTGAAATAATCTCAAATTCTCAGAAATAATGGAAAACGGTTGTAGACATAGTTTGCTACAGACAGTAATTAGATATCTTTACTGGTTTTTAAAATATCAGGGTAATAAAATCGAATTATTCTTTTCCAGAAATGTGACAAGATCATTTTTAAACATCTACTAGTTTATAATCAGTTATTGAAATATCAAATTCTGCGAAATCATATGAAACAGTTGTAGAAACATTTTGGCAAAGACAGCAATTAGATATTTTTACTAGTTTTAAAACGACAGGCTGATAAAGTCGAATTATTAATTTCCAGAGATATAATACTAACATTTATGAGCATAAACTAATTTAAAATAGTTATTGACCTAATTCTCAGAAATCTTGCAAAACAGCTGCAGAAACATTTCGGCAAAGACTAGAATTATCTACCTTTACTGGTTTTAAAACAAGGGGGCTGATAAAATAAAATCCAAAGATGGGACACTGCTAGCTTTAAACATCATCTAATTTAAAATCAGTTACTGAAATAAACTCTAACTCTCAGAAATCATGTAAAACAGTTGTATAAATATTTTGTTGTAGACACCAATTAGATATCGTTACTGGTATTAAAATACCAGGCTGATAAAACCGATTTATTTGTTTTCAGAAACATACATTATTTTAAAAGAGTTATTGAAATAACCTCACATTTTTCAGAAATCATATAAAACAGTTGTAGAAACATTTTGGCAAAGACTGGAATTTGCTATCTTAACTGGTTTTAAAATAGAGCGCCGATAAATTCAAATTATTCACTTTCATCTTTAAACATTCATTAACTTAAAACCAGTTTTTGAAACAAACTCAAATTCTCAGAAATCATGCAAAAGAGAAATATTTTGACAATTAGATATCTTTACTGCTAAGTATTAAAATATCAGGCTGATAACATCGAATTATTCATTTCTAGAAATGTGACACTGTCATATTTATATATACACTAGTTTAAAAAGAGTTATTGAAATAACCTCAAATTCTTAGAATCATATAAAACAGTTGTAGATACATTTTGGTAAAGACAGTTATTACCTATCTTTACTGGTTTTAAAATGACAGGTTGATAAAATCTAATTATTCATTTCCAGAGATATGACACTGCCATTTTTAAACATCCACTAATAAAACCACTTATTGAAAGCATCTCAAACTATCAGAAATCATTGAAAACAGATGTAAAAACATTTTGATGCAGACAGCAATTACATATATTTACTAGTTTTAAAATACCAGGGCGATACAATTTAATTATTTATTTTAAGAATGTGATACATCTTTAAACATCTACTGGTTTAAAACCAGTTATGCATGTAATCCCAAACTCACACAAATCATATAAAATAATTATAAAAACAATATTAGAATCTCACCTGTCACCAATTTTCTGGATATCAGCATGGTTTGGACCACTGATGAACTCTTCTAAATCAGCCAATCTGCCAGTTTTGGCATAAGAATAAATCAATTCGGATTCAATGTAGCTTTCTCTTGCCTTCTTTCTGGCCATCTGCAAATATCGCACCAGATCTTCCCAGCTATTGTTCTTGGAAGCTGTTTCCACGACGTCAATGTAAGCTGAAGGATCGTCGGCTTTGATATATGAGTCGATGGCTTCCTTGACCAACCCTTGGTTGAGCTGAGCTTTGGCTAACTGACTCCATACGGCAGGTTCGTTGCAACGTTCTGAAAACACGAGAATTTTTTTTATGAAAATAAATTTGAATGGTTTTGCTTTTTTTTTTTTAAATACGGCATAAAATTTTACCTGCAAATTCGTAGGCACGATCCAAGTTGTTCACCTGTTCGATAAGCACCTGAATGGCGGAGGTGTTGACGTCAAATTTCTTAAAAATAGCAAAAGCTTCTTCATACAAATGACTATTTATAGCAATATTGGCAATGTCAGGGGCGTCGTAATTGTCCAAGCGATTGATGTAATCCATAACTCTAGTGGCATCAGCCTTGATTGCTAAAAAAAAATATAAAAGTCTTTAAGATATACGTATTTCTTAAAAGTAGACGGCTAAAACAAAGTTATAAAAAATCTTTTACCTGTAAGGATAAGCAAGTTCTGTAGATTTCTGTGTTCCGAGAATACAGAACTATCCAAGACGATCTTTTCTAATAGTTCAATTAATTCGTTTGGTAGATCTGCTGTCATGAAAGCTTTTACAGTGACAGAAATATCTTCAGGATCTTGAGTTTCGTTGAGGGCCGTTTGAACGACTTGGTCAATCAACTGCCGTCTACAATACAAATACGAATATAACAAGAAGTTAGATTTTCAGAGCTATTTAGAGAACGATCCAAAAAGGTTTAAAATTATATTTCGACATTTGACTACCCCTTAAAATAATTATAATGAGCTCTATGCTCGAAAATTCGAGAAACACAATTTCCAAATTGAATTTCGGCTTGGAAAAAATGGTCAATCAACAGAAAGCCACAATAATGATCCAAAAATGGTTTAGAATTATAATTTTGACCATTCCTTAAAATAAATATAAGGAGTGTGAAAATTCGTAAAAACTGTTATTTTTCAATGTATTAATAATGGTTCTAATTGTAACTAAAAGCTACAAAATAGTGGCTTTAAATTCCTTAAAATTTCATAAATTTTGGAGCTCGTAGTATCCTACTTTACTGACTGCACCCACTTTATAATTTAACACAAGCCGTTTTGGGAAACTTACTCGCATCAGAAAGATTACAAATCATATTGTTCATTTACCTAGTGCTACTGACCCTATTCATCTTCGAAAAATAGTAGATTACTGATCCAGTTTTGTGATCGAGATCAGTATTTTGTGATCCTTTCTGTGAGTAGATTAGTAATAAATTTGCGGGCAATGAAATAATTTGCTTCTAGACGTCTATGACAATAAAAAAAATCGCTATGCAAGCATTTTCTGTCGTCTGATTATGCTACTATCGATGTAGGGAAATTTCTAAACTTACACTAAAAGTAGCGATAAAAAATGCTTGCAAAGGGATTTTTTGACATCTAGAAACAAATTATTTCATTGCCAGCAAAAAACTAAACACTTCATCAATGTGAAACATTATTTTGAATTTGACAGGTTAGGCGACAGCTCCCAGCACCGGGACATAGTACATGTTATTCTTCCCACCCATGTACCTGATTACAAATAACAAGCAAAAAACACGACATGTAACTTTTTGCAGTCAGATGAGGGACTATAAAGCGTAGTTTAAATCGATACTGCCGAGGTCAAACAAAGTTGGTAATAACTATTTACAGCGAAAACGATTACCCTGTATATGTACCCTATACAATAAATAAATGTTATTTAAACGTGACTAAATTAAACATATAAGCTGCAAATTTCAGATATCTAAACAACTCATTTGATATATGGGTCAGATATTAGATATAATTAGTATGTACTTATGATGTAATTCTCAAGAGTGTTGTATAGTTTCATTTAACATATTTTTATAGTTCTTTACCTGTAGGGATTGGTTTCTTGAAGTACTTCGGCCCATAAATCGCCGTCACGTCTACGAACTAAGTAACGCGCTTCAGATTTGAACAAAGAGTTTTCATTACATACTGCAATTAGTTCTCTATCACATTGACCTCGTTCGTAGGCGACGCACGCCAAATGCGGGTCACGTTTTTCGCAGTAACGTCCTACCACACGAGAATCGTACCTAAAAGAAAGGAATTTTTCATTTCTTCAAGTTTTGTTGTGTCATTAGCTTTTACGTTAGTGCAGACATGGTTGTATGCAGAGTCACAGTAATAGTAAACTTCGGTACTACATCTTTGGAGTACAAACAAAGGCAACCCTACTTATTATTAAAGAGGAGGGTATCAGGTTTAACAATAACTAGGGTTGCCTGTGTTTTTTGTTATGTAACCTATAATTTTTTAACTTCAGCTTAAAATTCTCTGTTTCTTTGACAAAAACTTACCATTGATTTTCTTTCAAGAATCTTTCAGCATTGTTGTTGGAATCGATGTAAATCTTTGCCAATGCATTGTGTGTAGCCGGTTCGACGCAGCCTTCATGAACTCGACTTTCGAGCCACGGAAGTAACAATTTTAATCTGTTTCGCTTCTCTACTTCCTCTACAAGTTCGTCAGTCGAAAACTGGCCTCTAACCACTAATATTAGATTCTTAATAATGTCCTCGGAACAATCAACATCTAAAAGACCTCCGACGACGACCTTAAAAAGAAATTATTAAATTAAAACAAAAGTTGCATTTAAAAAAACAGACTTACCGGCAAACGACTCGGATTAACCTTCTGCACGTAAATCTCAATGTATTTCTGTAACGAATTTCTGTATAGATATAAAACTAAATCGTGTACGAAGTCGAAACGATCGCAAACGATGATCAGCGGAAGTTGGTCGGTCAGTTTGGCTTCCTTCAAGAAGTTCTTCACTCGTTCGGCGTTATAACAATTTGATTCGCGGCAAATGCGTTCCACTTCTTTGATCTGGCCCGTTTTGCATGCAGCTTGAATGTACTTGAAGTGGACTTCCTGGTCTTGGGAGAAGTTTACGATCGAACCGAGGAAATAGAACAAACCTGTAAAAAAACATTAAATATATTATCAGTTTCATGCCAAAACCGTGCGTTTTATTAATTTTTCAGGAGAGTATTTTAAAAGTTAAAGTTCGGAAATGATAAATCGCATTGTATAATGCATTAACTATTTAATAAGTTTAATATAGTTATTAGCAACTAGTTTATTAGATTTTGATCCAGTAGGTCATTAGTGAACTTGGCCGACAGTTCCTTAATGAACTGTTTGGCCTGTCTCAATCCTGGATAGAAGCTCAACTAGGTTACTATATACTACAGGAAAAAATAATAGGTAACTATATTTAAATAAATATTTTACCGCTGAAAACATGAAAGTGACAAATTTACACATTCATTGTTTTGGCATGGCATTGGAGATATTCCTTTATCGCTAACCGTCAATAGCGTCATATCGATTTTCGGAAGTAAACAAACACTTTATCTTACTGTATAAAATCAAACACTTTACCTGTCGCTAATATTTATCAACCATGACTGTATGACATTAAATAGAAATCGTTTGTCACGGGTGCAATAGTAAAAGTTTTGGTATGGATTATTTATAGAAAATAATGGTAGAAATCTTTTTTTAAACTATACATTTGCTTATACTTTGTTTATTTGGTACATAAATAACTATTATGTTATTAATCGCTGAAACCGTCAACTTCCTATGTACAGTTTCGGTTGTTCGAGGTGATCGCTTGGATCTCAAAGCATTCTAGTCAAAGTTATGCATTTTATGAGACGTTGCCAAATAGTGTAAGTAGTAGACCGGTACTAGTTAGAAGTAGATTCGCTTTCTAGTAACTTTAAGTATATAAGGTAATAAAATACATAAAGTGAATTCCACACAGTTCTTTTGATTTCTAGTAGTGCTGACAGTACTGTTTAGAATGGCATCGAGACAGGGCCAAGCTGTGAAATCAATGGACACATTCCTAGTATGATAGGTTGATAGCTAGACACATTTTGGCAATGGTACTTGGATCAGCTAATAACAAAAAAGCTTTAAGATGTTTTGTTCTCACACAGAACGAGGCCAGAGAAAAGGATACCAGATATATGTGCATAGATTTTGATAAAGGCTTGTCTGTAGTGCGTTGGTTCAAAACATACCACAGCTTAGCTGATTTTTGAAAAATAATAATTTTTTCCGTTTTACATACATTGTGATACTTGTTTGTTCCTTCCAATAAAATTGTTAATAGTATTTTTATTCACATCATATGACTTCAATTTATAATTATACACCAGCCCATATTTGTATTTAGATTTTCAATGATAAATTGAAACTGTTAGATTTATCCGTCATTCGGCCACATACCATTGCAAAAATAGCTGTTTTTAGTTATTCTTATCGAATCACAATGTTCATTCGGTATTTTGTAAGAAATAGGCTGAAGGACTTTGGTCGATGGCCAATTAATTATCCCAATAAAGTACGTTTATTATTATTAAAAATAAAACCACTAAAATTTGGGACCGAAAGCTTTAAATAATATACACAATTTTTGAATTTTAATTACAATATCTTATTCCCAAGAAAACACGTAAACAAAATCTATAATAATATGAGGGTTTAATTAAATTTTTCGTCACCCTGTATGTATAAAAGCACGTGGTTTGACAAATGGACACATCCGAATTCGTAAAAATAAAAAAAAAAACAATGTACACTTACCTTCATAGCTCTTAAAACTCTCAAACAGATCAATCAAAGCCTTGGTAGTGAGCTGCTCATGGTATTTAGTAGCGATCTGGACGCAAATTTGCAAATTCTGTCTAATGTTAGCAGTTAACATGGCTCTGAGGCATTCCAAGCTATCTTCGACGCTCAACGTTCCAAAGAAATTGACCAACCAATCAGCCGGTAACAAATGTGTATGGACGACGGCCCGTTTGATGTCGTACAAGTCCGTGTAATGTTCGAGAGCTCTTTGTAAAAGGCCGGCTTTTTCGCAGAGCTGAGCGACGTGCGGCCTGTCGTAGTGGGTGAACATGTTGTTTCCGAGAATGGCGTCCGCCACTTGCGGGGCTGACATCAAATTCATTTCCAGTAACCTGAAAAATGGGATAATTCATGTAGAGGCTCTTTTTTAAAACGGCGAACCTGATTTCGAATCGCTAAAATTGTTTCTTCATATCCGATTGGTACAAAGCATTAATAGTAAAAATAAATAATTTAATGCACACACTATTCATTAGAGGTGGGAAGTTCGAATCTTTTTACTGAATTAATTCATTTGATTCATTCACCTAAAAAGATTCGTTCTTCAAGATTCGTTCTCAAGTGATTCACTTTAGCGAACCACGAACGATGTTATTCCGCCGATCCGGCGAAGGAAATCGAACCGAACTTTTACGAATTTGAGTACTACCTAACCTACCTACTAGGTCGTTGAGTAAAATAATTATAACCAGATTTATTTTAAAGTAAAGCGAATTAATGTTTCATATTTCATAAAAAAAAAGGCAGCTGAATAATAAATACATCCTTGTCCGTTAAGATAAACAACAATAACACAATTTTTTTAAATGCCAAATATATAGCCAAAATTAACGCAAAATTATATATTCACGATTCGTCATTTTTTGTTTTAATTTTACTTTGATTTAAATTTATTTATCAGACAACACGCATAAATTGTTTACCTAAGCTTAATACACACCTCCTGTAAAGTGAGAAAAACATAAAAGACACATACCGCCACCGCCTGTCAGTTAGAGTTCTCGTATTATGCCGTAGAACGTAGAACAAAAGCGACCAATTTGCCGATGCCGATGTAAAATACCAAATACCGAATCCGAATCGAATGAACGAAGCAACCAAACTCGGAACTCGGCGTGTTTGATCGACCGCAGAGCCATCGAGCAATTGACTCAAAAAAGATTCGAATCTTTTAAAAACAGGGAATCAATTCATTCGAGTCAGTGCACTGATTCGTTCTTTTTGAACGAATCGTTCGCGAACGACACACCTCTACTATTCATCACAAAAGCTGACATTCCTAATCTAAAGTATCAAACATTTTAGGAAACTGAACCCACCCCATAACGAGATTAAACTTTGGTCGGAAATGTATTCATACCAAATCAAGTAGTGTCACTAACCAATGTAGAGACTGAAAACTTTAGACCAAAGGCGACATTGAAATCGGAATATTTGAAATTCAAATTAGTTTATATTGTATGGAACTGTTGGTTTGGGTGTGCAAATTTGTATATTGTTTGATAGTCAGTATATAATTAGCTGTATGTGGTATGGGTGTTGCATGTGCACTTTCTGAAGGGGCAAAATTCAGTAATTGAGCATGACATATTTTAAATATCATTAAAGTAAAATAGAATAGTAATAAAATAACATAATAAAAATAAATATGTTCCTATACTGATACGACAGTGACATAGTGCTAATATTATAATACCTGTGATATTAGTGGTAACATAGAGTAAATGGATTTTAAAGAGCAAAAGAAGGTTGGGTTGATGGAAGAGAGTGAGAAGATGCTAGGAAAAGGAGATGAAGGATGTACTGGATTCTCAAAATTTAGAAGAAGACCACAATAAAAGAAAGATTGGAACAGGAAATACCATCGAATATATTACAGATGTTAATTGAGTCTGTTTGACTTTTAAAATTTTACATGATCTGAGTTTAAAACGGTGTAAGCCAGGTTGGTTTCTATCTTTAAAAAATTAATTTATTTTAATACGAAGAATGACAGAGAAGCATTGGATAAGAACATGAATGGATTGGAAAGGAAGAACAGATTAAACAAAATGAGGATGCAATGGGTAACAAGATGGACAATATAAAAGAAATATAAGAATTTAGACAAGATAAAAAACTTAGAACAATAGAAGAAATGAAAGAAAATAGAATTGAAAAAACAAAAAAAAAGGAAATTGAAAGCAAAAAGTTTAAAGAAAAAATAGAAGAACATACAAGATAAAAAAGTAAAGACAGGAATAGAAGAATTAAATACTCAAGATAAAGAAGTGAAAGTAGGAATAGAAGAAATAAAAATAGATAGTGAAGTAAGACAAAATAGGTATTATAACAAAAACAAAATGGGCTAAAATTTAAACAATAGAATAGTGATAAGTGATATTAAAATGAAATTAAAACACAAAAAGGAATATGAAAGAAAAAATCAAACCACAAATAAAAATAATATGGGAATAAATTTTAAACAGATGCGAAGTGAGTGAGAGTAGTATTTTAACATTTTTTTTTTTTTTAGGTTAACCAACACTTCAAAAGTTTAATATTTACCATGTGGCTCTTGCAAAATTGGCATGGGTGAAGATCAAATTGGGGGATTTTATATGGACATTTCTGAAGGGCAAATCGATTAGGTCAGAAATATTTTTGGAGGGAAGATTGTTAGAATTGTTTTCAATTAAGTTGAAATTTGTTGGAAAAAGATCATAATTTTTTATATAAAAAATAATTAAGGCGTGAAAATAAAATATTGGACAGCAACGTTTATGACACGGTCGAATCTTGCCTCCAAAAACGTAAGTCAAGACGTCTCTATGATTGTTTTAAAATAAAATATCCAAAATATTTTCTGAGATTAACCATTATTAAAAGAAGTAAATTAATAAAGTTGTTCAGCTCACTTTGTGATAAAATAAAGTGTTCTTCAAAATAACAGTCCTCGATTTGTATTATTCAACAATATCCATCAGCCAAAGATCTACAAGGTGTGACACACCATAGATAATAAAATTCCACCCCAAAAAGATCCTCAGTAAGAAAATATATTTTCGAGTATCAAAGAGAAGGTTCAAAGAGTGGAAATTGTACCGCTATCAAACGATTTTAGAAAACTGCACTTAATTGTTAATTTTGGGAAAAACTGAAACTTAATTTGGAAAATCTTATCAATTTGTATAAATTACTATGATTTATCATTTTAGTTTAGTCTTACCTCGTTTGCAAATGACCCTCAGTAGGCCTGTTGTTCTTCAAAGCGTCTAGTAAGAAAGCAGTACACTGTTGGACCATGTTTTGCTCCATGAAGATGTCTACAATTTGGTTAATATCGGCTAACGGTTCTTCGTCGGCTACTAACATTCCCGCGAAAGCTGCACCTTGATCGGGATTAGTACGCATGACTTGTCTCAAGAGGAATACATAATCGGGAGTATAAGACACTTTTTTGGCATACAGGACGATTTTTTGGAATTGGCCGGTTTCGGCAAAGCTTTGAATTACCTGAAATAAAAAATACAATTTTGTAGTCTAAATTTTTTATTTTATCATCGCCAAAAATTATCCCATATTTAACCCTATTAAATTATTTAAAAAATAATTATTCCATCCACATAAATTGGACTTACTTTTGCCGGGACATTAGCCCTAAGGTACACAGACAACGCTAATGTAGGATCAGCTTGTTTTACAAGGTCACCTAATTCTTCAGAGCATTCTAATTTTTCTTCTTTCAACCATTTTTCTAGCAGCTGTTTGCGTCCTTGCAGCAAAACCGGTTTGCACAGTTCCAAAGATTCGTATCTGGAATATTAAGTCAAAAATTCAACCAAGACAGTAGTTCAAATGTCCCTTTATTAATGGATTAAACTGACTAAAAAGGCGAAATATTAAGAAGGAATGAATAATGTACCTATTAAGTTGACCTTGGTCAAGCAATATACCAAAATATTGCAAAAGTGGGCTATTTTGACCTGGTTGTGTAGGTACTTGTTGGAACATTTGGATTGTAGCTGGAGTTCTTAGGATTCCTGGAAAAAACATAAGAAAAAATATAAAAAAAAAATCTTTTATTCAATGTTTTAAATTATCTTTTAAATAATTACATTTTGTTACCTTTAGGAGCATTAGCAGCAACTTTGGCGGCCTCGGCGTACTGTCCATTTTGGAACAGCAATTGGAATTTGCTGACGAAAAGTTCCTCAGCACCCGCCAAATTGTTTCTAGTAGCTAAACGTAAAGCTAAATCGGGATTATGTAGTACAGTATTGATGTACCGAATTATGTTTTCTTCATCGACAGAAACAGAAAGTACTTGACCTCTTCTATTAACACCTGAAATTGAAAAATTATATAGTAATGGCTCCGTCAACAAAAATCGTAAATACTTACCAATAATACCGCCCGTTGACTCGTGAGGTGCTGTCACAAAAATAGTTTCACTAGAAATCCGATTCATATATATGCAAGTACCGCTTTCGATATCATACATATGAATGTACCCATACTTTGTGATCAAATAGATAACATCGTACTTTCCAGACACTTGCATGGCCACGGGAAAATCGTTCTGTGCCTCCGGTGGAAAGAAAACGTCGACCGTTTTTTTGGTGAACGGTTGATTGCCGGCCGGACTCTGACCAACTTCGATAATGTGCAATTTTCCGCCTTGTAAGGTTCTGACGGCGAAGCAAAACAGGGTCGAAGTTTCCGGATTTCCATCCATCTTGAATGTGGCGAATGAGGCAGCGTGACCTTCAATGGGTTGAGAGCATTTCCGCTCCACTGAGTACAATTGCATTGCTCCAACGACGCGCGATTGTTGAGCGCTGATTCCGACCAGCAGTAACCAGTTTTGTTTGGGGTCTGTGCGGTAATTGATGATTTGGCAGCCGTTGAGAGAAGAGTGTCTGTAATTGAGTTGAATATTAACATACAACATGCTTAGGAATAGCAACGGTATATTGATTATTATTTTATATAAATGTATGAACTAAATATATGGTTATACACACAAAATTTATATGGAATCACTCAGTATTTTACAAAAACATTTTTTCATTAAAAAAATCACTTTAAAATAAAAGAACGTTTTTTACTGACAAAAATTGTTTGGGTCCTAAAAATATACGATTATTTGCCGTAGTGTTGATTTTATGATTTTAGAAGTAACATCGCAGATTTTGTATATTGTATTAAAAAAAAAAAAAAATTAAAAAACGTCTTTTGTAGGATTATCAGATATACAGAGAGGAAGAATAATTATTGCTTTAACAGAGAGGAAGGTATGTCCCAAAGAGCCATTGTCCATACACGGATGGTTTCAAAAACCTATTCAATATTCTTCGAAATAGGAAATCTAAAAAATAAAAGAAGTTTGCGAAGAGTTACTACCGATCACCAAGACTGATTTTTAGCTCAAACAGCTAGAAGAAATCCAATGGTAACTCATCCAGAACTTCAAAGATAACTTCTACATGCGACGGGAATAAGTATATCAGTGGAAAGGATTAGTAAACGACTTCGTGCCAAATAATTGTTTAGTAGAGTTGCACCAAAACTAGTCGAAAGAAGAATGACAAAACGTCTACTTTTCGGACGAAATAAATTTGAACCAATCTTACCAATGAATCCGTGTTTTAAGAGACCATGGAAGACAAGCCAAGCTTCAAGCTGCCCGACCGGTTCCGAAATATAAAGGAAGAACAATGATGTTTTGGAACTGGATGATGCTACTGGAAAGAACTCCCCTAATCCTCACGCAACAAACTTTAACTGTGCATAGGTATGAACATTTGGTGCTACATCCCATAATAAGACTTTGCCGATGTGCTTTTGGACTTTTTTATATATGCAGGATAATGTCCCACTGCATACTAGAGATACGCCAAAAATGTTTTGGAGACTCAGGGTACTCAGGCGTACTTGTTCCCCTGATCTTAATCACTTTAAGCATTTGTGGATTAAGCTAAAAACAAATATTAGAGCTCGTCAAAACAACCCGGGAAAAACAGAACAACTGATTCAAGTGGTTCTTGAAGAATGGATGAGAGGAAATCGACAATCTCATATTAAGTAGGCCCGACGAATTAGTGCTTTCATTGAGGCAAGAGGTGGAAATAGAAATTAAAACTTTCAAGAAGTCCATATTTTTTTAGTTAGAATTTGCATTTATTTATAAATTTGCTTTTATAAAATTACACATCTTGCTTTGTTTTTGATTTAATACAAGGAATTTTATTTTTCAATTTTTGTAATAAAATATCGTCGTCGTCGAATCTGTTGATAAGACAACTTTTTAGGAGAGACAAAAAACGTATTAAAAATTTCACATTTAGTATGACATAAGTAATCATATATTATGTTTTTAAAGAATACAGATTTCTTACATACAGGGGCTCACATAAAAGATTATACGAATTTTTCTGTAATTAATAATGTCTTTATTATTTCTATAAAAAATACAAAATTTAGTAGGTAGATATTTTACAACAAAAATAATCCTTTGTAAATGTATGACCATTAACAGAACATGCTCTACCATTTAACCCTAAAATTTTCATGCTTATAAATCAAATTTGGTCAAAAGGGTAGATACAAGGTGTCACTTCTTCAATGACATTAAAATAAACTATCTTTTCATATCCAAGGACATTTTTATCTTTAATATCTTACTTCTGTAAAATACTGGGTGATTTCGTATAAGTTTGGTTGTGTTTATCGCAATTTTGTTGTATAGTCATTATGTCATCCCTCATTATAGCATAATATTATATGATTAATTTGGAATTGCCTATTACGTATTATATTGATGGTATTTGTATTACTTTTTTATTTATTTGTTTAAAGTAACTGCAGATATAAACGATCTAAATGGTACATTTAAACTATCAATAATAAAATAACTATAATAAAATTGTCACAATATAAAGCCAGTAATTAGTGAAAGTTGAAATTTTAAGGCCCATACTAATCTGCCGTATTGGCGCGGTTTACTTTAAACGTAGCTTTAGGGAAAAACATACTTCCCAACATTAATTTTAATATTGAAAACCGTTCAAGAAGTATGTCTAAGGGTTGTAAGACTGTAACGAGCATTTCAGGATTTTATTTTTTCATATATTTATTTCATATTTTTATATTTAATATTTAAATGGACTTTTCGAGTGTATAGGTGTTTAGCTTTGGATTCGATACGCAACGCCAGAGGTAGGGAGAAGAAGGTGATAAAAGCTATGGAAAACGAAAAGCCGGTAGCTTTCCGTTTTGTAAATTCATCCCACTTCTGTCTTTTCTCTCTTATCTCTGAAGAGTTTTATTTTTTTCAAAGTGAGGTTATCGAAGTGGTGGTTTAATGTTTAGCAATAGGTAATCTAGAAGCTTTTTTATTGTTCTTAAGGTAAATTGTTGGCGAATCTCTGCATTAGAGCGTTGCTTATCGATTAAGGGTATTTCTTGCAGCAGGAATTTAGTGATTAACTAATGTATATTCCACAAATTTAGGTCTATATCATTGGTAAGTTGAACAAGGAAGTTTTCAGCTATTTCTAGTTTTTTTTTTTTTTTTCGAGAAAAAGCCATTTTACGTCTTAACTCGGGCAACTGATTTTGACCTTTATTGCCTCGTAATTTGAAGTGGTTCATTTTATGTTTTAACTCTTGCAACGGATTTTAACCTTTATCGCCTCGTAATTTAATACTGTCTTTCCAGTGAGCAGAGATTCATTGATTTGCGTAAATTTGTAGATTATTTGCAGTGACTTAATTTATTTTAATTTGTTCACTGTTTTCTCTCAATCGTGTGACAAATCAATGGGGCGCTAATTACTGGGTTATATTTATTTTTTTTGCAAATCCTTGCATTCCTGGTATGGTGTGTAGGTAATAATTTGCGTTTTGAGAAGTTTGAAAATTTGCTACTTTATGAAATATTAAACCTGATTCACTAATAATACAGTAAATACGAAGTGACTTTCAGACTACTTCATTACAGAGTTTCTTTCTATCTTTCTTTTCACTTTCTTAGTACTTTTTTTTATTAATTTAGGCATAGTTCCTGATCAAGGAAGCTACAAAACTTAATGCTGGTTAATTAAAAAAGAAAGGTATCCTACTCTACTTCTATTTCTACTATCCTATTTTCCTTTAAGTTTTTTTTATTATTTTATTATTTTTGGGGGGAATTTTTCATATAACCTACTGGGTTATTTGGCGTATGAGATTTAGGTTGTCAATTTATTATCGAGATCCACCATATCAGTGGATAAATTTTTTTTTGGAATTATTTAGATATTTAGTTTCATGAAATTTAAATTTCTGGCAACCGTTGAAATCATTTATTTTAAATGATTTTAAATAACAAATAAAATCTCATATAGCGATTTATAATTTGGGGCATTTTCCAAGTGGAATAATCCATGTTTAAATAATTCACAGATCATTAATATTCAATTAGTTTCCATTTCACTATTCACATTTTTAAGTTGGCAATATTTAATTAATGCCTTTTCAAATTTATTTGAGATACCACTTCATGGTTTTTAAAATAATCTGGGGTGTGATTATTAAGGGGTAAGTTACCTTATGTGAAGTAGGTTTAATACAATACAATTAAATATAGGTTGGGAATGTACCTGTCAAACATCTTCTGTGGAGTGGAATCACCCTCCATGGACCAATGGTAAACAGACGTTTCAGTGACAAGAGCTAAAGTGTTCGGACTGATCCATTTCCAGAAAATCACGTCTTCAGACATTGTATGCGCTTTCATTTTGGATTTCATTTCTATATTGAAAATTTGAAGAGTTTTCTGAGTTTCTACGCCTGCCTTACCTAGGAAGAAATATTGTACATACTTTTGTTCACTCTTAATTAACATTATCTGCTTAGTGTTATTGATGAACCTTAATAATTTAATAAAAACTTACCTTTAAGAGCAATGACCTTAGAAGCTGGATTCATAATTGCACTTTCGGCCGTAATTGGTCTCCTGATTGGATTAGCAGTGTCGGCCATGTCGATGATGACGACCTGCGATGTTTCGCCGACCTTTTCTCTGACGCAAATGTATTTGTCACTCTCCATGGTGAGAGTGGCAAATGTGATGTTTGTTGCATTGATGCCTGCATTGGTAAGCTATATAAAATTGATTGCATTTCGTAAATTTGTTATGGAATAGATTTGTAAAGTGGATAGAGGCAAGCGTAGTTTTTCTTTCAATGTTTTAACAATTAAAAATTTAAAAACAACCCTCATTGAAAATAATTCGGACAAACACCCGAGTTGGTAGGCATGACAATTATTTTGAATGTAATACATGTATGTGTGGAACGTTT